AGCATGCGCGAAGGGCTGGCCTTGCAGCGGCCAAAAGGGCGGGGAGGTGGCGCCGGGGCGCTCTGCCGCGCATGCGCAAGAGGGCGGGAGAAGCCGGGCGGCGCGCCTTGCCCTCGCGCTGCCTGCCCGGCCCTAGTGCCGGCGGCTGCCCGGGCCCTCGGGGGGGGGGGCGCTGTACCCGCAGGCCCTTCACCACAGCCACCGCCACGGGTTGTGCAGATGTGAAAGCCACCGGCTTGTCCGACTGGACAGCAGGTTTCCTTGTACCAAGGAAAGGCCGCAAAGAAGAGCCCTCAAATTGCCCCAAAGGAAATACCATGGTACTAGGGGATTTTTTTTGGACAAAAGATGAGCAGTGCTCAACTAGAAAATTATGGCCTGCCTGGCACAGTCTTGGCGCTAGCACAGGTGACCAGGGTGAAATGTGCGTGTTGTGCGTTAGGGAGGCCTGGAAGCGGTGCTGCGCCTCGAGGTGATGGAGCGATGGGCCCTGCCTGGCCCAGCCTGCGCTTCGCCTCCTTGGGAAGGGGCTGCCTGCAAAGCACTGAGGCTGCTCGTGTTGTCCTGTTTTTCCAGGCAGCAACAGGCCACCGTTGACAAGTGCCTGCCCAAATGCTGCAGGACAGAGATGTGTCCATCTACTAGCAGCGAGTTCAATGTTGGCGAAAAGCATTACAAACAGCAGTGCATCACCCCTGCAACCACAAGATCCAAGGGTGGCTGAGCTTCCAATGGACAAGCCAAGAAGGATTTTTACTTAAGTAGGTTTATGATCTCAGCATCGCATTCTTTTTGAAGCAGCCTGTTAAAACTTTGCTTTCTCCTCACAAGTGTTTCCTTAGCTTCAGGAAAATATCTTCCAAAGAATCAGTCCTTATCATCAATGTAGCTAACTGGCAGGAATCCCAGCACAAAATAATGATGTCTGTAACATTTTCTTTACTGAAAAGACAGGCTTAAACCCAAATGGGATTATTCTGTCTGCTCTGGGACTAAACCACTGTAGGAAGAACAGGCTGAACAACACATGATGAATAGATAGCTGCACTGAGAAAGAGCAGACCTTTCAAACAGAGGAGAAAACAACGGATGGTGCTGAGAAGATCGACCCCCTTGGCTGCCAGCACACCAGCCGGAAGAGTCCTGCAAAGCAACCAAGAGGAACATCTCTGGAAGAGGCGCGGCTGCCCTGAATGGCCATGGCCACAGCCTGCAGGAATGCTGAAAGGAAATGAGAGACGCGTTTAGTGTGGAGAAAGAGAAACGTTACCAAATAGAGCCGGGCATCTGGAGAATGTCAGCAGCAGAAGCTAGTGCACGTGGATTTTTTGCCTGTGGAAGTAGGCATAAGGAATGAAGTTCGTTATGAAATGCATTGTAAGCATGTGGCTCAACGAGTAAAGGAAAGGAATGATGTTGAAATGAGGCATCCTACTTATGACTGTAGACTGTAAGAATCCAGATCAAAGTAAGCGCTGGCTCAAGATAAGGCGTGAAGTCTGAAATGGCTGTGCAGAAAGGGAGTTGTTCAGTGAAACTTGGACACTATTGGGAAAGAGAAGACCGCCAACAGACAGAAGGGAAAATATTCCCTTCTGTCTCAATTTTCCACCTCTTAGTGGAAAAACTACATCACTGCAAGATTAAATAAAAACAATGATATTAGCTGAGGAGAAACTAAAGGGAGTCTTTATGAGATTGACTGTGATTTTGACTGTGGGAAGAGTCTTGGGAAGAAATTTTCACAAATGTCTGGAATAGGCTTTTGAATTATATTCCTCCATTTGCAGGTACAGAAAGCCAGCCATGCAAAAGTGTCTGAAAAGGGAGATGTGACCTAGGTTGTTCTAATACCAACTATAGCTGCTCTCTTCTTGTGAAATCTTGGGGGGTTTGATCATTAGGTAATGGGGAAAAGGATTTTTGCTCTTTCATTCACATCAACGTGCCCTGAAAAACAACTGCCAAGAATGAGATGCTGGTTCCACCAAGTTTTTCTGTCCTCTTGAGGAAGGGCTTTTGGCAACATCTGTACCATGACCTGACAACATCTATTAGGCAGCATGCATGTAGCAGAATGTATTTCTGGTCTCCCCTAAACTTTTGGCATTACAACAGGATAGGAAGAGAGGTAAGTTATAAGGGCCCCATGCGATTGTTAGGGAGCCCAAAGAGCAATCTGTGAAGCACTGTGGGAAGTGAGTGCAATTCAGGCCAACATTCCTCTTCTGGCATTGTATCTCCCCACTGAACACAGTTACAATATGGAACCCTTTACATCTCTGTCTTTGCTACAGGTAGCAAGTTTGGATGAATGTTTCTCATCTATCAGCATCTGTTAACTTGATCAGTTTACCTGCCCCATGGGAACTGGCAAGGGATATGATGGGTTGTTCACCCATCAGAATTAGCTGCCAGCTATCCCAGACATGCTGATGAATGGATGGATGGGAGATACCAGATGAGAAATGACAGCATACTGCTTAAGAAAAGATGAGAGCTGGAGAAAATGGAGACTGATGGTGGGTGAGGGGAACAGGGATGGAAACAGAGGGACAAAATAATCTGAGGCCATCTTTCCCGTATTTCTTTTTCCTGTCCCAGCTTTCCTCCACCCCCTGTTTTGTTCTGGTTCTGCACCACTGCAGTCAACTGGAATTTTGCAGTTTATTAGGGCCAGGATCGAATTTTTGTCTGTCTCTTTCTTTCCATCTGTTTCTTTTTTGTTTCTTCCCTTTCAGCATTTCCATACATTTGTCCATCGATCTGCAGTTCAGCAAAGAGCGTAAAGAGAGTATTGCTCCTTACTCTGGTGGGAAGTTCCAACTTGTTGTCCCAAGGCATAACACAGATAATGTGACTTGACATGAAGGCGTGCCCCTGTCTTCCCATATATTCTGAGCAGGAGGATCGATTGCTCTACTTCAGGACATGGAAATGAGGGAGCAACACTGTGCACCGGGAGAGCTGATGCCTGAAGCCCCATTGGTAGGGCAGAATGTTCCACTGACTTCCTTTCTTTGGTGAAGGGCAGGGAGAAATGTCACAGAGCCTGCCAGGAATATCCATCTTGTCAGCAGTGTCCCCAGCGCATATCTTGCTGTGCCTGACTGGGGCACGCTGTCACCGGCACGTCTAATTTCATCTCGGGTCACAGGAGCTGGAGAACAGGCAGAGCTGGCAGCAGTGAGAGCATGGGAAGCAAAGCAGTGTTTTTCTTCTGGTGTTGAAAGTGTCAAAAGAAAGAAAAAGTGTCTCATTTTACAGCACCTGAAGTCCAAAAGATGCTTACAATGAAGGTTTTTACTACTAAATTTAACCCAAGGCACTTATTTTATAAGATTGACCAAAATTAAGGTTTTCTTTAGGTTTTCAAATTTTAACTGATCATTTTTTAAAATTAGAATTAACAGAGAAAACAAAATTTTATTTTCAACCCAAACACATTACAACATCATCCAGTCTGAAAGAAGGAGGTAAAATGAACAAATTCTGTATAATGAAACCAATAGATATTTTTAAGGTTAATAATCTATTACATTTACATTAGGAAAAAGCATAAGAAGAAATCATAGCTCCAACAAAATAATTGATAAATCTTCCACTGATGTTTGTGAAAAAGAAGAATGGATGATAATTTGCAGGGTTTTTAAATAGCATTTAGCATGTAGGAAGGAGGCCTGGACATTACAGAAGAGAGAAATATTTCATACTGGAGGGGTGGGATAAAATATTATTTTATATTTGTGACAGGACACAAATGAGTGTCCTATTATTCACAGAAACTTGTATTTTTCATTGAATAAAGTGCATTTAGAGAGCACCTAGGGGAGGAAGTGCCCGCCCATAACTGTACACTGGGAACCAAATTTCTGTCTGACATGCATCACTAAGTGTGGTGTGTAATGCCACTGGACAGGTATGTTGAACCTACAACAGAGCACATGAGAGCAGGATTTTACCCAGTGACCTAGCTGAGGGCACTTTTCAGGCTGCTTTTCCATTTCCTTTTTGCTCCAAATTCAAGCTGGACCTTAGTCAGGCTGGATGTTTGTCACCTCTCTTATCAGAGATCTGTTTTGACTGTCTCTAAAGCCATGCTGAGGGCATGAAAATTGTCCTGTGTGTCTAGCATATTTATGGCAACACTCTGGGCCCAGGAAGGGGCTGTGGTGACAAAAGCTCCTCTGACACTCAGAAATAAAAGAAGTGGTTTTAATTGCCAGTGTTAGGAATAAAAGCAGAATATATGCACCTAAACGTTGTCCTGCCTCAGAGATGCTTCTCAAAGATGCACGAGGTGTCTGACAATTATGTACTTAGATTTCTGGGTAGTGTATTACTTTTAACAGGCACTGCAGTTTAAACCTCCCTGAACAGAGGTGGCTTACAGGCTCTTTCAGTGGTGAATAGACTAAATCTGTTCTCACAGACAAATTTATGTATGTTTTGAGTGACCTGTTTGACTTTACCTGGATGGGGTCCTACCCTCTGCCAGGACCCTACCTCTGCCTCCACACCCACCCGGGGTGCCTAAGAGTAGATTGAACTCTGGGATCAGAGGTGAACGATTACAGCAAGTGTGCCTGAGGAACACGCAGTCTCCATCAAGCTGAAACTTTCCTTGATGGGGAGAAAAAATAGCGAATGCAATGTTACTGATCAGATACTATGTTTTCTCCCTGCCTCTGATAACAATTTTGCAATAGTCTTTTAGAAACATCAGCCCAATACTCAGGACAGCGAATGAGACTAACCCATCTGTGAGAGTAGCTGCTTGATTTTAGCTACATTTTTAACTCCGTGACCATTCTCTGAAGATAATCCCTTCACTCTAGTCACTGAAGAACAGGGGCCAGTGAGCTCTGTTCACCATCTCCTATCACTTAGCAGGAAGAAATAGTTTCTATTTACTGTGGGAATTTTTAATGGTCATTACTACCTACCAGTGAAAAATCATATTAATAGAAATAAATAACCTTAGAAGCAGACTAATGCAGCTATAGCCAAGAAACTGATGGGAAGCAAAAAAGGGGGAAAAAAAGTAGCAAGACTAATTCTTTATATTGCTCAGACACATTTCCTTATGCTCTGGAAGTCTCACTGAAGTTTTTACTGAATCCAAAGTGAGTCTTTCTGTCATCTCAGACAGGATTTGGTTTCTGGCAGGGAATTTAACATCCCTGTAATCCTAACCTCAGATACAGGCAATAGTTCTGTCCTCCTCCAACAGCTAGTCATGTGCTATGTAGCTCACATTCCTTAGTTGTTAGGAAAAGAAATGATACATGGATGGGTTTATTTACATTTTTTGTTGCTATTGATGTTAGTTAGGTGTATGCCATCTCCTTTTCACCTCAGGAAACACTCCACCCCGAATCAAATACCTTCCTAAATTTGTTAATAGTGGGGAGAGAAGGGCTGTGGGTCTTCACCCTGGATTCACAACTGATACCATAACAAAAACATATGTAGTTGGGGCTGTTACCACTTCAGTTATTTCCTACAGTGAAAGAGGAGGTACAGATGACAATGTAAAAAGCATTGCTGAGACTCCACCTGGAAAACTCAGTATAGCATTTAGGAAAGAGGAGTTCAAACTGGAACAGACCCACAAAAGGGTTACTAGGAGGACTGGGGAGTGGTGAATTTTAGCAAACAAGAGCAGACTAGAAAAGCTCAGTTTGTTTAGTCTAGAAAAATGAAGACAGAGAGGGGATATGACTGTTTATGCTTCCTTTCAGGCCAGTTAAAAGCATGATGCTACTCAAATTCATGGAAAACACTAGCACAAGAACAAATGGGTGTAAACTGTCTTTCATGCAGCCCTTTTGTTCTGGGCTGCCTTAGGAGGAGAGCTGCCAGCAGGTCGCAGGAGGTGACCCTTCCCCTCTGCTCAGCACTGGTGAGGCCCCACCTGGAGTGCTGTGTCCAGTGCTGGGCTCCCCAGTGGAAGAAAGATGTGGGCTTACTGGAGTGAGCCCAGTGCAGGGCCACAAAGATAATAATGGCACTGGAGCATCTTCTCTTATGAGGAAAGGCTGAGAGAGCTGGGAGGCTGTTCAGACTGAAGGAGATTAGAGTCATGGGGATCTTGTCAATGTGTACAAGTCCCTGGAGGGAGGGTGCAAAGAGGACAGAGCCAGGCTCTTTTCAGTGATGCCCAGTGACAGGACCAGAGGCGGCAGGCACAGGCTGACACACAGGAGGTTCCCTCTGAACATCAGGAAACAGTTTTTCACTGTGAGAGTGGCTGAGCACTGGCACAGGTTGCCCAGATAGGTGGTTGAAGCTCCCTCCTTGGAGACATTCAAAAACCACATGGACATGATCCTGGGCAACTGACTGTAGGTGGCCCTGCCTGAGCAGGGGCTTGGACCAGATGACCTCCAGAAGTCCCTGCCAACCTCAGCCCTTCTGTGAGTCAGTGATTCTGTCTTGGAACACACTCAAGCTGGAAATGAATTCACTTCTACCCCCAGAGGAACGAATGGCCTCTTACACAGAAGACCAGAGGACTAAACTTAGCTAATTTTAAGAGTGAGCTTGATTGTACTAGATGCCAGGATAGCAGGGAACCTGTCCTGCTGACCCTGCCAGACACATGCTACTATACAGTCTTTAAGCATCATGGTGATGATAATAATTTATGGTAGTGGAAAGGGAAGGAAAAGTAAACAGCTTTGTACTGTTAAAAAACTAAGATCACAGGGTCCAAAAGGAACTCACATCACCTACCTGTGGCTAATAAAACTTAAGTAACATAAGTATGAAAGGGGATTAATGTTAAATAAGTAGAGATCATTTTTACTTTTTTCCCCCCTTATCTACTATGTATTAATAGAAATCAAATGCTTCTCCTAAGAATCACAGAATCATTCAAGTTGGAAAAGACCCTTGGGACCATCGAGTCCAACCATTAGCCCTACTCTACAAAGTTCCCCCCTACACCATATCCCCCAGCATCTCATCATAACGACCCTTAAACACATCCAGGGATGGGGACTCCACCACCTCCCTGGGCAGCATATTCCACTGTCTGACCACTCATTCTGTGAAAATTTTTTTCCTAATTCCAGCAACAACAAACTGCCACAGCTGGTTTGTAACATTATTTACAATTTAAATCAGCAGGCAGGCTCCAGCAAACTGACAACCCTCCCATTATTCCCCCTACCCAGAAAACTCTCACCCATCTTCATCTTTATGATAAGGAATGTCTGGTATGTGAGTATCACTCCAGCACATCCCTGCAGTTCTCTTGTGACTAGGAGTCCCAAATCGAGACTAAGGGCACTAATGAGCAGGGAGACGGCTCACAAACACTGTCCGGCACATCACTGATTGTTTTGTGTTTGCTAAGTGCAGGTGTGTGCCTTACCACAGGCAGAAAATGTGAGTCTGCAGTCTCCAAGTCTCTTCACAATCAGTTACTACGCGCAGTCAGTCTAACATCCAGCAATGATCAGGCTCTGCTTTCAGAGGCATGCTCTTTGCTCAGTAAGGATGAATGGGAAAGCTGTAAATATGAACAGCCTGATAGGGCAGCAGCCTCTTGGAACAGAAGTGCTACATTCCTGTTAACCCATTTGCACCCAATCACAGTCCCCTTGGTTTACTTTCTGCTTTCAGAGAGAAGCTGAACATTGCTGGCTATCTTGCGTGAAACTTGGAACCTAGGCTCTGCCTCTGGGAGAAGGAGGAGGAGGAGGGTGGGGAGGGAGGAGTCCATCAACCAAGCTTGCTTACTAAGTAAGCTGAGCTAGCAACCATACTGGCCAAGCCAAAATTTCTCCTTACGCAATTACTTTTTTAGTGATGCCTGCAAATATGCGCTCTAGCCAAACGTGTGTTATCTGTCTGAAGTACGGCAAAGGAAAGAAGCTCTTGCTTGAAACAGATTAGAAAGGAGAACAGTATGCACCAGGAAGTCAGCATGTAAGGAAGCTGAGCAAGGCAAAGCCATGAGAGAGGAGGTGGAATTGCATTTGTTAAAACATACGGAAATCAGATTTTGGATCAGCACAGGTCTTGGATCGTTCTGCTATTTATTGAAGTCAACAGGAAGATTCACATTAAGTTCAACAGGTTTCATCAGTTCCTGTAGAAGGTGGAAACAAGTGCTGAAGGTGCTAATTAAGTTGCATAACAAGACTTCTGATGTTTTATTTAGAAAACAAAACACCCAATCAGTTCTCCCCAGCTTGAAGAAAACATACCAATATAATCATCTCATAATCAACAATAAAAAAATCATCAGCAACAGATCATACTCTCATTTTTAGATTGAAGATTGTCAAATAGGGCAACCACAGGGTGTCCTTTGTTGTTCATGTCTCTTCAAATTTCATCCCGATTCATGGCAAAAAGGCTTGCTCTTTACAGGTTAAAATTAGAGGAACTGACAGCCTGTGCAGGCTTCCAAGGTTCTTGTAGTTTGTCTACACCAGCATTTGACAGGGAAGCTCAGACCAGTTATAGGAGTCATCCACAAAATCCAGTACAGGAGAACCTCTGGATCACTGGGACCAGACTGCTGCTATTGCAGGGAACCACAAAAAAAAGGCAGTGACTTGAAAATTAGTGACTTCTGGTTTAGTTTTTCCTACAGTCTCTATTACAAATGGAGCTACACAGGGGGAGCCAGGGTAGAAGGGTTCCTAGAACTCTTAGTCCACACACAGTTTAAATTGTACAGTCTTTCTCTCTCCCTTTTCTCTCCTGTAATAAAGCTTGCACGCCTGTCTCCCAAATGCATTCCCTGAATGACTTAAGTCCTTTCCCACCATTCATATTGTGATCTGAGGTTTCCTCCCTTTAATCCGACGGTAAAGATGAAAGGCTGTTTTAGAATAGAAACACTGCAAAACCAAAACATGGACAGAACCTCTGGGGGAATTAATACTTCTTCTGAAATGAAAGTGGAGTGAACACACACACACATACACCAGACATTGTGACTAAACAATGGGAATATAGTTCTGGAAGATACTTCAAAGGACTAACCAACCAACTGGGAAGAATGGCTGAGGGCTGTGTAAAAGGCACAAATTGGAACGACATGGTTGAATTTCAGTCATCGAAAAAATTAGGCTTATCGTCAAGAAAAAAGACTTGAGAGTCAAGTTCAACACAAGCAAGAGAGTGAAAGTCCATCACTCAATACAGATATTTGAAAATAATTCAGTTGCATGACTTTTATTTCTCCATGAAAGAGATAGAAGAAAGCCAAGATTTACTTCCACCTTCAAGGTACTTTTTTTCTAAGTGGCTGATTTTGTTTTTTATCTCAGTAACACTGACAGAGTGGAAATATAAGAATATCAGCTGTGTTTTAATGATAACACCATCCAAATACTGAACAGCTTTAAGAACATCACAAAATGAATGATAAACATACCTGTAGCTCTAATACTGGGCCTGGGATAACTTTAATTTCACTTTGCCATACTAGGGAAAAACAAGTGCACTTTTCACCTGGTCTTTAAAAGCCAGCATTCATCCATCTGAAATGAAACAAAAAGTGACTAACTACCTGCAACCTTAGAAGTCCTTTCACATAGTCTTAGGATCCAGGTGTCATCTCTATCACAGTGAAAACACCGTAACTTTCCTAACCTGTTGGCCAAGACCAATAACCTCCTCTTCAGGCTCTGCAAGAGCAGTTCAGGTATAAAGTCTCCACTGATGCCAGTCCAGAGTGAGTCTTGCCCCAGATTGCTGGTTACTGAGCAACCGCACGTCCCAAAAGGGAGGTGTGGTACTGATCCACTTAGTCTGATGGACTCTGAGGAACCAGGCAAGGGTTCAGTATGTTATGAAGGAATAAATAAGAAAATCTAAATGATTACATGAAATTTGTTTCACAAGACTTCTGATGTTGGAAAGTCATAAATAATTATAATATATTCTAAACATGCACAGGACTGACAGCGCATAAAAAAAACCAAAGCAGCATTCCCAGAAATTGTCATAATAAAAAGTCTGCTGCAAAGACTTCTCTGGGGCAAGCCTCTGCTCTAGTCTGAATCTCCCTGACTTCAAGCTCAGTCCTGTGGCATTTATTTATGTGGACAATTCCATTTGCAGTACTCATGACTGCACAGATAAACTGTTCATGACAGAGCAAGCCTCAACTCAAACAAGTCACTTTAAGGAATAATAAGAATAGAAAAAGACAAACACACATATTCAAAATACTTCTGGCTCCATAACATCATGCTGTAAGTTGAGTGGAAGCTGGTGCAGAACTCACTGAAGAACCCTATTTCCTACCTAATTGAGGACAATGACAAATAAGGGAGCCAGGCACATCCTTTTCATATGAAGATGATTATAAATTTTTAATACTTAAACTGCCTGGCTCTTTCTGATAGTTATCTTATAAAGCATATCTTTAATGACATTATACTTCTTCTCACGTTGGCTCCTTAGTCTGTGATAGTAAAAGACATAATGGTTCTTTGTTTCTTACTTTCAATACAGGTCAGCAAATATTGGCAAAGACTGGCTAAATTCCATAGTCCGTATTATTCAGGAAATCATACTAGGTGAACATTAATGCTTTCATATGGGTTTTATCTTTTATTGATTTATATTTGGCACAAAAAACAGTAAAGGAGTTATCTCCTGTGATTATGTAGGTGTCATAGTTCCTTCAAGATCATCTCCTTTGTATTAGAAGTTTTAAAAGCAAGCTTTGATAAAGGACATATTTTTTCTTTTTGTTTAACAACAGTTTTTATAAGTAAATTATTTTCTTTTCCCAGATATAATTTTATCTCTCTACTCCTACATCCTGCCAAAAATTCTCTATCTTTATTCATTACAAGGAATGTAACTATATTTAGAGTATTTTAAATGGTTTACAGAATCTACTGACTAGCAATATTTTCCTGATTTAAAAAACAGTACATTCCATGAAAGCAGAATTTGTTCTTACCTCAACTCACTGCCTATATAGTTCTTACCAGTGACTAAAGACAAAAATTGCCTCTATTGAGAGGGATCTTTATTCAATTATGGGGAGCATGCTTCCCTAAAATGCTTAGTTTGCTCCAAAACTTAATTTCCTACAGATTTTTGCTACATATACAGAGCTGAAAGGAACAGATAGCTCTCCTAAGGATTACCATCTGAAAAGTGCCTAAGTGTGGCTGGGAAATCTGTTCAAATGTAGGTTCTTCCCCTGCCAGAGGTCAATGCTAATCACGAGGCAACAGCCCTTACTGTCTTGTCCATTTTCCCAGCTGAAATGCCTCACTTCTTAAGAATGCGTTCCCTTTAGTGAAATGATGGGTGTGCTCTGTGCTCTGACTTGGTGGAGTTCACCCTCTACTTAAGCCACAGACACCTTTCATTAATTTTTAGTTATTTTCAGAGTCGATCTCCTCTCCTCCTTTCTATCCTCAACATGAAATAAGTAACTTGATCACTGCAATGGGGCTTCACAGCAGTATACCTCCTTACAGAGCATTTCAGAACTGAAACCACACACCTTTGTGGAGCACACTGGAAGCAATTATCTAGGCATACATTGTGGTTTAGAAAAGTATAATTTCCATGATTTGTAGGAAACACCAAAGGAATTATAACAAGAAGATCATTAGTAAAATGTCAAAACGTCTTCCAAAATCAGGAAGGCAACTCCCAAAGAAGAGGATAATTAAAAACAGACTCTCCCTGCTTTATTAAGGCACCAACCTTGTAATGGGAAGTCTGAGATCTAGTCTCAGGTCTGCCAAAGGCTTCTCCTGATTCTCAGCTCTCCTATCTGCAGCTGTAGGGCAAAGACATTTATATCATGTTTGCTTCAAACAGAGGCTGGAGCGCCAAGTTCAAGAATATCTGTAAATCTCTTGGAAAGCAGTGCTGAAAAAAAGGCCAAAGTGCAACACATCATCTGCTCACTGAGAACCTCTCCAGTATTAGCTAATAGCTTTGAAGCTGTCGAGGAGAATCAGACAGGTTATACTAAGGAAGCACTCTAGAGAAAGCCTGTATGTTTATGTAACAGTATCAAATATAAACATGCTATTATTAGCATATTTAGTTGAGATAATAGAGTTGAAAATGTAATGTGGAATGGAGGCATGGTCAATGCCTGCTTTGATAGAGAAACACAGAACTGGTAAGTGTTCCTTCCCCCTGGTCAGATGTATGACCCACAGCACTACATGGCAAAGGGAAAAATGCTGGGTGGGTCTTCAGTATAATGTATTTCAGGGTTAAAGATTTCTATGTTTTGTACATTTGGAATTTTTATATGCAGGTAATGATAATAACGCCCCATTGCATTCGGTAGCATAAAGGGTTTTCTGAAGAGAAATCAAGCGGACAGTACATGTTCTCAGCTCATCTCCAGTGGAGCTGAGCCAACCTTCTGCCCGGCCTTGCGTGGCAAAGCAGACCAGTACCTTATTTCAGGTCTGCCTGGCCTGTTCCTCTTTACAGTCAGTGACTGCATATGTGACATGACAAATTTTGAATTATTTCAGCAGCTTCAAATTCTGTACATACCTATTTCAGATGGTAATCTCTACTTTGTTCCCAGAGCCTCGTCTGTGCCTTTGTGCTGGCTCTGCAGCCTTCACATCAAATGAAAACAAGTAGGCAATGTCAGAAGAAAGCCCCTCTGTTGCTGAGGGTTATACATTCCACTTGGAAGATCCTCTGCTCAGATGGAAGCACTTTTGGACACAGCTGGCCAAACAGAGAGAGAGCCTGCTGCATCAGATGAGCTGGCAACTCAAACAGCAATTGCTGGGGCTGAGGCTGGACAGTGCTAATCAAGAAATTGCATGACAGACCTGACAAGAAGGTTAAAAAAGACAATCTCTTATGAGTCATTTCCCACCAGACTCTTCTAGAGTAGGACAGTGGACTCTATATAGAGGTTTCTGGTGTACTTACAGGGGAACTGAAGATAATGAGGGGAGAAAATCCTATTATCAGAAAATTTAAACTGTCTACACAGGGGCTAGGCCTCAGGCGCTTGCTGCTTTCTGAACAATCTGTCATGTCTGAGACGTCCATATGAAGTGTGAAGTTTAGAACTCATTTGCAAAATCCGTATATTTTTGCTGTAGTTATACTATATTCCTGTGGAGACAAGCTGTGACTCACAGGTGACATGTAAATTAAAAGGATTGGCCTCTGAGAAGAGTCAGAAAAAAACCCCAAATGTTGAAAAGAAAGCAAAAAGAAAGAAGAGAAAGGCAGGCAAATTCCTCCTGTGCAGGATGTGACAGCACCATAACCCATGATCCCAGGGAGAAAGATGCTTTTTTACCTCTGTCAACCCTTCCAGAAAGGAAAGGTCTCCTGTATTCAAGGTCTTCATTTTGATGGACCCTGCTCTATAAAACTCAGCTGTTTGGGGGCTGGAGATTACAGGAACTTCCCTCTTCACCTGAAATCTGTCCACACTTTTTAAAAAAAATGCTATTGTAGTGTTATGTCCACGCTTTGTGAAAATATAAACATCAAACTGATGTGCACAGCAATGTAGCTGGAGGCAATGGACAGATGGTCAAATGGACAATGCAAAAATTAAATAAATTTTACCTTTTTTTTTTGTTTCTTTTTTATTCATATATCTGAAAAATTGATTATATTCTTTATCTAAAATTATTTGGTTCACAAGCAAAACAAAAAATATGTACGTTACAGAACACAATTTCAACACACATCTCAAACTGCCCTGCCTCCTTTATTCCTGAACACTGCAAACGTACCCTGGTATATTTATATGCAAAGACAGCAACCTGACATCAGTGCTTAAAAATAAACCAAATAGGAATTGCAGTGTGTGCATGCTCAGACATACCAATCTACAGTAGGGACTAAGAGATGACATTAGGTAAATACTGTCCATTATAGTTGATTGGTTTTAAGCCAAATTGTTAAAGCATGAGGTGCAGGTGGTTATGCAAAGCTTAGCTTAGGGGTTTTTTTGTTTGTTTTGTTGTTTGTTTTTTTTAAATAAACCCAGCTGTAATTATCACTGAAGTGACTAGACATAGTTGCCATGTTTCACGCTAGATGAAATGCCCAGTGCTTTTTTCCAAGGGTAAGCACACACTTAGCTATCCCCGCTTCAAGCACATCCAATCAGACACCAAAAGCATCACCTACGTAGCTATAGGTGCCTCTTACCCTTTGCTGTCCCTCCCTCTGAACCCAAGTTTTTGTTCTGTTGAAATCTGTGACTAAATTGCAATAGATTTGTGGATGGATAGAAGCAGTACACATCCCTTGGGCCTTTGAAAAGCAGAGGACATTAAGGTATCATTCTGAAGGCAACAGGTATCTACAGTAGTATAGGGGAAATGTGCATATATGTACAAAGGAAGAAGCAAGAGTAAGTAAAAATGTCAAAGGCTTTTTAGTTTGCAATCAGCATGTTGGTGAATCTCTGTCTCCCCTTATCTCTGAAATTCTCATGTGTGACAAAAGAAAGATTTCAGGTTTACTGCTGCATTTTCCCTTACATGCTGAAGAACACAGAATTTTTAATACATGGTTCTATACAGTTATTTATGGCTTCTCAATTTAGGCACCTGCATCAAATAAATTAAGACAATGTTTCTTTGATGCAGCATTGTGCAATGCTAAGCACCAAGTTTTACAGCAAAAGGAAAACACCACTGCATCATTCACAGAAAGTCTACATTTGCTTTCAGTAGGTAGGTAAAGCAGAGAGTGCAGGAGGTGGCACATAGCAAACTAGGTAGAATAAAGGCACAGGGTTATTTTGCTTACAAACCCAAACATCAAGCAATTTCTAGTTATAATCTGAAGGAGATAGGAGAAGAATGGGCAACGATGGGAGTTTTTGTAGGTTTTAAAACAGCATGAGTCAAATATTTAAAACAGCTACTGGAAAGTTGCCTACATGGCAGTAGGTGCTAGGAAATTTGCCCTTCCATGAGCTCAGTAGCAAAAACAAGCTCCTGGTGCACATGAAGGTTTGAGGAGATGAAAGCTCACAGCCCAGGGTTCAGAGGAAGTGCTATTGCAATAAACTATTAATTATGTATGAATACAGCACTCATGGTATTGCATGCATTTTGAAACATAGCAGTTCCCCAAAGGCACTGTTATCTAATTGGTTTTATATCCCTCAAAGACAGACATCTCCTTGGCACCTAGAAAGGAATACATATATAATATATTTGTAATGTACTCATAGCTGCTTCTCTGAGTAAATTTCCTTCCTGACCCCTCAAGAGGGCTCCTGCTCAGGGCTGTACACCTCCTAGTGCAGAACAGCCAAGGAGTATTTCTGGTCCCACCAAAGGCACTTACTGGGTTACCTAGCAGTAGAGAAGGCTGGAAGAGACCAGATGTGCAGGTCCATATATTTTCAATAGCAACAAATGACCTACAAGAACTTTAGCAGGACATGTCCAAATAAAAAAAATAAACCATCTACAGGGCAACTGCAACAAAGAAATTGGATTGTAATGGAGAAACGCATAATAAAAAGATATGAGGAGTTTTCACTGAATTATTCAATATAGGAGTAAGCAAATCACACTTTATTGGCAGGTCACTGTTCAATTAACCTTTACAAATAGCTGCATTTAATATGTGTCTCATTTATATAAATGTTAACATAAAACAGATTAACACATTGTCTGAATTAGAGGGCTAAAACGCTCCAGTTTAAAATATTTTGTAAATCACTGGTGCAGCAATACATGCAGTCATTAAATGCCCTGAAGTCAGACAAAAAACAGATTAAAAAATTACTCATAGAAAGATTGCCTTTTAATTAAATTTCAAGTTACATTAGTTAATGATTTCAGTGACTAAATAAATTACCCCAAAAGTTTTATGCCATTTTAACCTACTTGTCTCTACCTCAGATAGCATTTACACTTATATCTAACTTCCTTTTAATGCTGAACTAAGTAATCCTTTTAGCAGCAGGTAAATGCCTAAAAGTGCAACAGTGACGTCTAGTGTGGGTGTTAACCCCTCAAAATAATTCAGATATACTTTAATTTCCACTGTGCTATAAGGCAGCAGAACTGTGTCCACAGTGAAACCATTTTCAAGAAATTATAAACTGATCTAAACCTGCTGTGTATTCACAATCAATAGAACCTCATTTGGAAGCTAGGAAAAAAAAATGAGGTTTACATCTCTTTTTCTCTATTACTTCCCACCAACTCTTCAATTTTTAGTTTAATCTTGGAGTTTGGGGCACAAAAGTATCATATCAATGACAAGACTGAAGGAGGCAGTATTGGAAACCTCCCAAGTGCAGGTGTGTTAGCACCCCAGCCAACTCAATTTTATATATGCAGAAGTATTTATGGTCTAAACACGAATACTTCAAGGGGCTTTTAAGGAAAGCTGCCCATGATGGTAACCACATACCAAATTATCTCTCGGTAAAGACACAGACCTGTGCATTATACAGGAAGACCAAGTGCTCCAGCACAACCCTAATAAAGGTGGGAATAAACTCGTACAGAGAAGAGTGCTCTCAGAAGTATGGAAAAAATAGACTTTGAGCACCAATTCACTTTACACAACTCACTCATCAGTGGTAGCTCTTCCATCGCAATGATCTTAGCTGGATTCAGGCAACCTTGAACTGGAGCTTCCATTTCTCCTATCATTTCGTCAAGCCAGTCTCCTTTCTCATGCAGAAATCCTGGAAACAGAAACTCTGTCACTCTCATGAGTGTATCTACGCTTAAGGAAGAATAATGAAAACTACATGCTGAGAAACATGAACAAATGATGCATCCTTTTCTCTCCCAGGTGCCAGTCTTTGATTACTCCATGACAAATGTCATTCTTACTACTTGTCAAAAAGCACACAAAACATTTCGTTGTCAACATATGGAATACTTTTTAAATGCCAAATTGTTTGTTTAATTCATTGTTGACTACGGCCTGCAATGGCCAGGTCTTCTCCCATGGATAGGCAAGAGATTTGATGTAAGTTTTGCAGGAAGCACAGCATGCTGGTCAAAGGGGGCAATTTCACTTAAAGCCCAGAAAATGCCTCCTCCCTACACGCCTACTAACACCAGAGCTTCATGTGCTTTATGGCCAAAAGCAGCTTGACCCTACAGCAGTAAGCATCTAAACCCATTCAGGTAGAGCTATATATTTTTACTGAATGATCACCGCTGTCTAAAACAGCGAGGGAATTGTTCACCATGTAAGTCAGCCCCACAGGATAAGAAAGCCCGTAGCTAATTAGAGGGTTAAAGGTGGGAAACTCATCAGGTTTCCCTAAGCATATTACAGCCTGGCTACACACATCCGTTACTATAACACGATCCTCTTTGTCAAAGGCCACAGCTGTAGTATATATTTTGGAGGGGAAAAGGAGGTTCAGACCGAAGCTATCCATCTGGCCAATGAGATCCATCTCTGCACTGAATATCGTCACTCGGGTGCTGCCTCTGTTCAGTCCTTGAGCCTTCAGGTGCTCTATTACCACAACAGCACCCGAGGTCTGGGAGACTGCAACCCCTCTTGGGCTGATGAGCCGAGACCGGAGCATCTGACACTTCTTCAACTCCCCCTTCCTGAAGTCGGCCGTCAAGCGGTAGAGAGCCCCTGCCTCCGAGTCGGACAGGATAACTTCACTCTCGGGGGTGGCGTCCACGCCCCAGGGCAAACAGAAACCTTCCCGGATGGCCAGGACCCCCCTACCATCAAAATCGAAGGCCTTCACGGAGCGGTCTCCGCCATCGGTGACCACCACGTGCCCGTCCGACGTGACCGTCACATCAAGCGGGTACTTGATATCGTTGCCCGCGTCCCCCCGCTCCCCGAAGCGCTGCAGGCAGGATCCGCTCGGCCCAAAGACGTGGATCCTCTTCTTGCCGTCGTGAGCCACTGCCAGGCGCCCCGACCTCCGGCAGGCCGCCACCCCGGTGGGGTTGACCAGCGACCCCCAGCCCCCCA